TGGCTACAATGACACAATTAATTGCATGTTGTGGAGGCCATTTACAGCACTGGCGAGCGATGCCTCAGTGGGCACTTGCCACTTGCCACTTGCCACTTGCCTGTGCCTTTGCCAGTTGCTTCTTTTGGCCTTCTGGCTGCCTGTCTGCCAACATGAATTAAGTTCTGTGCAAAAATTTAATATGCGGCAAATGCTAAAAATAAATTACTAATTAGCTTTTTTGCTGACCGTTCGTTCAAGGCGACTGCCAGCAAGTGACAGGCACACATTGAGGCAAGTTTACTGGTGTACAGTTTGGCCTTGGAACACACAGTTTGAATGTGTCTTGGGACATTCAATTGGAACTGAATTTAGTAGATTTTATGCCTGAAGATGAGATCTAAGCTTTCCTTTAGCTTTGCTTAAGTTACAACTGCAAAAGGGTCATTTATAGATAAATGATTAATATATTTAATACAGGAAATATTCAAATATCTGCTGCCATGCCTAGAAGTATTTTTTAACATTTTCTCTGCTCATTCTGTAGCACCTTTTTCTTGCTTATTAGCTGGCGCGTGTGTGTCCGCTTAGTTGCTTGATCAAACGCCTGTTTAATCTGTACTTCACACAATGCTTTAAACTACGAAAAGCTTTTGTTTCTCGCTCTCTCATTTTTCTCTGTTTTTCTCTCACTTTTCGCCTTTTCCCTCTTAGCAGAAGTAAACTTTGGACAGCAGCGAGTGGAACTGCTCAAAAACAATGAAACTTTTGCATGGTTTGGCAATTATGTGAGTGGGTCTAACACACACACACACATATACTGACATGTGTGTGTGCCACAAAGAATCCTTTTGGCAAATTAACCCACTTTTGCAGCATTCCCAAAAATATTTTCTTAGCTGCTGCAGTCTACAGTTGTCCAATTTTCACTGCTTGTTTTCCATTTTTCGCTGCTTTGTTTTGCTTTTCCCTTTGGCTTTCCTTATTTTGGCCCGAACTTTCTTACAGGACGCAGTTCCTTCAGCAATTGGCCAAACTTTTGTTTAGTTTTCATTGAGCTGCGAGAGATCTTTCTTGATGGGAAAACTTTACACTTTCACAAGGCTGCAGCTCTGCTCTCAGCCCCTCCCTGTTGCAGGGAAAGTGCCTTTCTATGTTGAATGTTGAGTGAATTTATGTGTGGCATATACAATATTTTGTTGTTGCTTTACGACTCGCCTTGACTGCTCCTCAAGTTGTAATCGCAACAAAAAATATGCAGAGGGGATATGCACGCAAATGCATTTCGGGCCATGAATATGCAACTTGCGTGGGTCACAAAAATTTGCATTTTCCGACCAGACCCAGTGCCAGCCCCTGCCCGAAATGGCTACTAGTCACGTGAGGGGGGGGGGAGTGGGGCGGAGGAAGGAAACCTCAACTGGTGGCTCATTAAAATGCTTTTGACTTTGCCCCAAAGCTAAAGCTAAAGCCAAGCTGCTGCCTTCACAACTTGCCAAACGCATGAAAAGAAAGGCTGTAAAAGTGTATGACGGGATGGGCTAATGCGTTGCACTGTCAAAGCTTGCCACAAATTGCACTTGCCCCTACCTCAGCCCCAACGGGAACTACTCCAAGGAGTAGTGACCAAAGCGACCAGCGAAGCGCACGACTGAGCGCCAACCAAATTACAATGGCCATAAAAATAATGCGTGTTCTGTCGGTGTGTGTGTGCCTTAGCTGTGTGTGTCGTCTGTGCCTTTGTTAACTCTTTTCCATTTAGTGGCTATTAAAAATGGTTGAATGTTGTTGTCAGCCACAGATAATGAGCATGCCAAAAAAAAACTTGACGCGCGGCTAAGTGCAAATTTCTGTTCAAAGTTTTTAACAGAAAGATAAAAGCGGTGAAGGCAAATAAGTGAGAGTCGAAGTGAAAGATGCCCTGGAAAAGCGGAGGTTTCCAAGAAAGATATAGTTCTAGTGGATTGAGCTGGTATTTTGGGTCTTTTATGTATAACTTTTGGTGGGATTATCTGCAGACAGAAGTCGCTTTTTTCTATTCGTTCTTTTATTGAAAGTTTGTGTGCTAGGATTTTTAGTACTGATCGAATTTTAGATGTTCGCATGTCTGGAACTCAAGGAAAGACTTTGTTCAGTTATCAGAATATTTAGATGTAAAAATCTTATAGTTCGAGGTGAATGCATAGTCAGTAGATGCCCGTAAATTCCACGAAAATTACTCAGAAATTGAGCCCCGAATTCCAATCAAACTAAAACCAAGAAGCGTAAGTGCCACAAATTTTAATATTGATTAATTTACCAAAAATACTCCATAATTAATTCATTAAATATTTGGTAACTTGAATCGTTGTGGCACTTGAGTTTCAAATCTACATCAATAGCTCCTTATTCTTAGAGCTCTCCAGGCGCATGGCTTGTATAAAATTGCTATTGATTAGAAAATTCAAGCGCAGTCCATAAATCTCCAGCAGATTGTTGTGTTCGAGACGTGTCTTGTGGCCCTGCAGCAGCGGTTTGCCAGCCACAAAAATGGGCCGTTTGCCCTCGTTGGAGATGAAAAATTCGCCGTTGCTGCGCAGCTTGATGGTGCCCTGTTGGCGTGAGATTTTCGATGCATTGCCCTCCAGCGAGAGATCCACATCCACCGAAGAGTCTTTGCCTTCACGGCCGAATGTGATCTCCTTGTGCTGCATCAAGTAGCGCACCTGTTGGCCGCACAGGCAGGCCATGGTCTCGCTGTCCAGCTCCTGGCTGCCAGCATTCGGGCCCATGGCAGAGTCCACCAGCACGGACAGGCGGGACATTTCGTTCTCCAGCAGTCGAACGGAACGCTTGTTGCGGCGATTTTGCAGCTCCAACTCCTGCTCCAGGGCGTCGTCGAGTGGCTCCTTCAGATCCGCATTGCAAATATCTTCTTCGACGTCTGAGAAGCTGCATGGATTTGAATCGGGTGCATCGAGTGTTATCACCTGATCGGGCAGCAAAAAATACTTCTTCATGAGCAGCCAATTGCGCTCAAGATCCCGAGCGGTGCGCGTGTGCCAAAAGCTGGTCGCATTCTTATCGAGCAGCTGCTGAAACTCCTCCAACGTGGGACTCTCCGTACTCTTGAAGCTAGCCAGCAATGCCTCCTCCTTGCCGCTGAATATTGCCTTCTTGTGCACACTTTCCGCCGCCTCTGGGTGGAGATTCCCTATGCCCATGAGGGCCAAACGGGAGATGGATGGGGCGTACATGAGGGCGCACCAACGAAGCTGCACCTCCTGCAGCGTAAAGTTGCACGAAAACGTTGTGGCACTGTGCACCACATTCAAATCGTTGGTCTGCTGAACACCAATCATCAAAGCCAAGTCGTCAATTGGCTTCCAACATCCTACCGTTGGCGAAAGACCCGTTTTCTTGGGCTTTGGTGGGGCTTCCTGTGGTTCCAGAGGCTCAATTTTGGGCACCAAAAGTGGCTTGGGTAGCGAGCTCTTTGGACGAAATGCTTTGTTTGGCTTGGTGGGACGATCCATGGTCTAGGTTTGATTCGATGAGTCTTTTTTGTGGTAAAACTCAAAGCTTGTGCAGGAAATTCTATGGTCAAAGGTTGGAGTTCTGAAAGAACAATATGAAGGATTTTTACTTACCAGATGATCCGTTGAGTTAGCGACGTCAGGGATCGTTATTTTCTTGTGTTTTGGGTTATTTTTTAACAAGAAAACTATTTTTCTTCTTGGCTGAAACTTGCTTTCTATATTTTAATTTTTTTTGCTAATATTTTCCCTTGTTTTGCTATTTATTTTTGCTGCTGCTGAAGCGCTGACAAACAAACTGTCATTTCGAATCCGACTTGATCAGTGTTGTTAAACTCTTAAAAGTGTAGCAGAAGCTGAAACTGGACTTGTGAGTTCTCCAAGTGTTGGAAAATTGCATAAATATCGCCCATGCACCATCCATTATGCCCTTTATTGCCTTTCTAATGCCTAATGAAACGTGGCATGGCCTCCAAAAAAAGCCTCAAAACTGTGTAAAATACTTTGTCGCCGAGCTATTTAGCGCACATTTAGCAGCCACGCAGGAGCCCACTCCAGGCCACGGGACTCTGCAGCATCCATGGCATGGCAGTCAAAGAACAAGTCGGGGCAAACATGGCGACAAGCCCGAACTAAGGCGCGGACAATAACGACAGCGACAAGGACAAGGAAACAAGGATGCAGATGCAGATGCAGTCGCCCCAGTGACAATAATTTAATTTAATGTGTTTGCATGCAGCAGCAGCAGTTGCAGCAGCGGGAGCAGCAGCAACAACAACGTTAACAGCCAAGGAGGATGCTGGTTGGGTCCTGTGCCCTGGGCCTGAAGATAACTCACAATTTGTGGCCGCTGCGTGCGCGTTTCTCTCTCGCTCTCTCTCTCTCAGGCTGCAGCCAAATGCGAAATTTATGGCTCCTTCCGTTTCCCATTGGCCCTGTGCTGTGCTGCTCCTCCTCCACCCAGTCAAGATGCGCGCGCGATCTCTTGGGTTGGGATTGGGGGCATGGGCAAATTCATGCTGAAATTATTAGTGTAAACATTTTGCATTTAATTAATAATGCGCTCTAGGGAAGAGAGAGAGGGAGGAGACCGACCGACCGTGTTGACAGGATTGTCCGCGAAAGTGTCATTGAAGTTGGAAAGTTTTTGGGTCTACTGTTGCCTTTCCTGTTGTTGCTGAGAGACTGCAAGTAATGCGATAATAATGGGCTGAAAAGTGGGGCATAGGGCAGCAGAGAAAGCATCGATGGAGCAGTGTTGTAAGGAAGGTTTTATTGTGGTATTAAAAATCTTATATGGTACATAACCAAATGTTTTCCAGCACTAAAATGGCTTTTTTTGGATTTCTAAGAAGCCTTTTCGAGCCAACCCGGCAGATGATTCTCATAAAAAGGCAACTTAGCAAGCCGACAAATTTCTTTAAAAGTTTCTATAGAAGAATTTTTCCTGTTTTAAGGCAGTTTAATTTCTGTCTCACAAGCGGTAACATTCGGTTGAAATATTTCCAAAAATATGAATTGCTAAAGCTTAAAGAAAAAGAAAAAAAATAATTTGAAATCGAATTCAATTGTGCAAATTTCGTGGCAAAATTTGACATTTGCAAAAGGGTTTACTTCAAAGAAGATCCAAAGCTCAACATTTTTGCAACATGAATGCACAAATTCTTCTCGAAGAAAATCTCTCTGCTGAAAACGGTCCCGATCCCATTGTGGCCATGCTTCGCAATAAATATGGTTTCCTTGACGAACCATCAGCACCGAAGAACCGTGTGTTCAATAATCACAAGCAAGTTCCGATGACACAGCAAGTTAGTCAGCTCGAAAGTTACAAGAATTCAAGTCGCATTCTTCACACTAATTAACTGACTGACCTTTCAGATGAGTGACTCTACTACGGGAACGGGGAACAACGGGCGTACCCACAAGCTCGTTTGCATTTGCGATCGTCCCAATAAGGTCTATCAGTGTGTCGCCTGCTACCTGTACATGTGGGGACGCGCTGCCAAAATTTGCGAGAAACATCCTTCGGTGACTTTCCTCATGGACTTTCGTGAGTGTCCCTACTGCGCTGCTGATTATACCATCAACGAAACCGATTTCCTTGAGGAAGACATTGAGAAGTTTAATGCTAGACTGCCAGACGACGATGATGAAGATCTTTAAGCTGAGGGAAGTGCCACTGGAAGTGCCACAATAGAATATTTTTGTATAGACAATTTAATGCATTTTGAATGAGGAATTGTTAATAATAATTGGTGTGCTTCCACGAAAACTATTTGCTTTTCATGGCTCGTAGATTGTGTCGCATTTAAAGCTGTCTTTGTGCTGGAAGCGCATTCTTTTTCTCTTTTCGAATATTTCCAGTCGCTGCGGATCCCCTTAAGATTCCTCTCAATTTCAGTCTCAAACTGACATTTCTCTCTGTAACACTTAACTTAACTAAAACAACAATCTCTATAGAAAGTAGGCCCACTTTTGCCCCAGAAATTACGGCAATAATTCCATTTAAGGCTTTGCCCCGAGAGGCCTACCCCAATAGAAATTAAATTGCTTAAGGCCTAAATCCTCTGCTCTACTTCACTCTCTGCTTTCGCTGTCTCTGTCTCTTCCCCATCCATTCTGTCTGTCTGTCTCTTTCTTTACTTATGGCCAGGCCATAAATTGTCTGGACATTTTCTAGACATCATAATATACGGGGCCATAATAAATATGCGACAACAGCAAGCGAACACACAAAACAAACGAACATCAAAATAAGCTTTTTGGGAAGTGAAAGTGAAAGAGATGCAAGGAGAACTTTAAGCTTTAACCAGAGAGAGAGGAAGAGCTTCTCCAATGGCTATGTAATGAGCATAAAAATGACATCAGATCCACAGAAATTGAAGAGTGGACAGGAAAAGGGCAGGAATTGAGCTATGGTATGGGAAAGTATGGGTTAGATCTATGGTCAATGAAGGCGGGATAGGGCAGTGGTTGAGAACTGAGGTGCCAAGACGACCGTAAATCTTTTTTGTAGCGCTTTTAAGGTAAAATAACAATTTAAGTTTATTACTGGATAAGAGACAAACCATAAGAACATAAAAAAAAGAAAGAAAAAATATAACCCCCCAAAGAAAAAGACACAAAAGACAGGCGCTGACCACAACAACAATAAGGCGGGGGAGATACACACACACACACACTCCCACGAATACCTATGATATATGACAGAGGGAGAGGGTGGTGGGAGGAGAGTTGTCAGGACAGCCGAAGGATTTTCTTCTGATAACTTTTGCTTTTATTTCGAGCACAAAATATAAGTTTTGAAAGCAAAAAAAAGGAGGCGGCAGGAAGGTAAGGGACTGTGGATGCCCTTGAAATTTTGAGGGAACTAATGGTATATAGATAAATATAAATGGTATAAACCAAGCAACTGTCATATAATTGTACGTACTTTTCGATGTATTTACTCTTTTATTTGATGGATATAGTGACAAACTTCTATTAAACCTTTTAAAATGCTTCCAAATACTCTTATTGCAAACCTCTCAGCCAGCCCAACATACCCTCTCGAAGGTCACACAGTGGTGTAGCAGTAGGAAAAACCATGATGATGATGATAAATAAAGAGAGGGAGGAATGTTGAGCAAGTCTTTACCATGGCAGCTTTTATGTAGATTGTCACAGTTGTTGTTTAGGTTTTTCTTACAAATCTCTCTCTTGTGTTGAGATTTCCCTTTATGGCACAGAGATACAGAATTAACGCACAGAACTACCAAAAAGTTGGACAATCAAAGGGCATAAGTTGTGGATTTTTTGTGCCACTTAGAGTAGAGCCAAAAGCGGAGTCCAATTTCGGCACTAGAAATCCGCTGGCATCCCATTTTCGGTGCCTGGTTTTGTCTCTCAGTGTAGGTCAAAGACACCTGTGTCTGCTCTCTGCCCTTGGACCGGAGGCAAACATGTGCGGCGCCACTTAATGGCCAAAAACAGTTCAAGGAAGTGGCGTTGCTGCCTCCGCCCCGTACCGACTGCCACTCTGACAGAGTGCCGCCTGCCCATGGCCCTCTGTCTCTCCCTCCCTCCCTGGCAAATCACATTTCGATTGTCTGTACGTGTCACTTACAGGGAGCTACAGGAGCCTTTACGGGGTTTCGGGGAGCTGCAGCTACGTCCTTCCATTATAGAATCAGTGTCACCTCCCGCCCATCACCCTTTTTGGCCTGACAAACAAAGCAGTTAATGGCTTGCAAGTTGAAACAACTGCCAGCAGGAGGAGCAGGGATAGGCTGTGTGTGTGTGGATCCCTGATTTTTCAGGGCTTTATATCAGTTTTAATGTACTGGTTTTTGGCCTGCCTGCCTCTACTCTCTCCCAGCTATTCGTGTGGTTTAATTAGCGCTGTCTGCCAGTCAACCATGTGGACAAATTTCGTACATTTAGGCGAAGCTTTTCATTTGTCACTGGATCAGGCGGAGGCGCAGGAGCAGCGGGCGCATTACTGCCAGTAGTTGCCTGCCAGCTTCTGTTTTGAGGTCATGGTTCATTGATTGGCTCTCAAAGGTGTGCAAGCGATTAGGCTTCGACATGCACAGATATTATAAATTGATGGAAGAGAGGAGAGTGCAGCAGTGGCCACCACCTGTTAGGTGAAAATTGCTGCAAAAGGTTGGCAGTGCCAGCAGGGAAAATCCTAGAAAGCGAATAGCTTTTTACCCCAAAAATAAATAATAAGCCAGACAGACATTTCAAATATTAGAACACAAACAAATCAAGCCACAAAACACCCGAAATGCCACCCCCCTTCAAGTCTAGACAAAAGCTTTTTGGGGAAAGCTTTTCGCTCCCTCCTGTCAGCCACGCTGAATGTGGACCCCAAGCTGCAGAACTTTACTCTTCCATGGCCAGAGCCTCTCTCTTAAGGGAAAGCTGCCATCCCCTGCAAAAGCTGCCACAGGGATGCTGTAATGTGAAGAAATTCGCTGCTGCTGCTGCTGCTGCCCAGCATCCTGGCTCGTCTCGTGGAGCTTCGTTCGTGCCAGAGCCACTGCCTCGGTTCGTCTCGTCTCGCCTCGCCTTGCCTCGCTTTTGTGTTGTAGTAGGTTCTGGCCAACTTCGATGGCTGTTGGCCAGTGAATTGTCAGTTCAGTCAAGCTCCAGCATCCGTACAGTGTGGAGCACTTCACTATACGCGCTCTCCCCGTACAAGCTGCGACGCGTTAACGTGTCCTCAACGGCGGTCTATCATCCTCTGGCACCCATAGGTGTGTCTGTGTGTGTGTGTGTGCCCCGTGTGCCCGTGAGTGTGTCTGTGTGTGACAGTGCGTGTGGCAAATATTCGGGCAAAAAGGTGGCCCCCAAGCGGTGTTGGGAACTTAAAGTTGTGGCGCCCCCCAGACAGCAGCAGCCAAAAGAAAGGTCGGTTACGGTTACGGTTACGGCTACGGCTACGGCTAACGGATTGAATAAACACACGGAAAACACACTCAGTGGAAAAGTGGAAAGTGCAGAAAAAATAAAAAACTAAACGAAAATGTAAGCTGGTCAGCAAATCACAAATTTCCTGGGGAGAATTGGAAAGCCACTAAAATTGAAACGGAAAATACAAAATACGAAAATGGGAAAAATATAAAGTGTGGCATATCCCACATAAAGTCTGTCCATTAAGTCTGGCTTACCAATTTCTCGCAAGCAAATAACGAGCATGTTTGAAATGCAAAATTTCTGTGAAGGCAAAACTCATCAGTTTTTGCATGAAAATTGATGAACAAATTCTGGGGAATATTTTCAACGAAAATGTGGGGCAAGCTCAGGTTTAGTTTGCAGAGAAAATCCAAATTAAAACAGGTTAGAAATGTTTTTGGGGTGGAACAACTTATGACGAGTGATAATGAGAATAGTTCTCAAAATTCGGCAGCAAAAAATTCTGTTCTCGGAAATATTTTTGCACTTGTTATTAATGACTGAAACGAGACTTCTAAACGAGACTTTTTGTTCGGAATTTTAGGGATAAATTTTGTGCTAAAGTTCAGCTAACATTTTCATTGATAAACTGTGAACCATTTGTGGAAATAAAATGTCTAAACGAATTTCTCAAGTATACAAATAGTTGGCATAGTTTATGCTCTCGCCAATACGGTGAACAAAACAAAAACATATTGGCAACATTTCAAAATTCTCCGCAAAGTTCTTTTACCTTTGGCCCAGTGCTGGTTGCCCGAACGAAACAAACAAACAAACAAACAAACAGTAGAACCCAAGTAAAAGCAGCATTTTGGCCAATAAATCATTGAGGGCGAAACTTGTGAGCAAGACGAAACTTTAACAGGCTGGCCGACAGTTTTTTTTTTTTCTCCAGCAGGAAATGCTGGCAGGGCGGAGACTGCCATAGGAATTGGTTTGGAAAATATTGTTGGACAGCCTGCCGTCGTATGAGCAATGTGTTGTCCTGGACAACCTGACGTCTGAAGCTACATAATGTCCATTTGCAACTCAGAGATGAATATATTTGTTGTGTGATGGAAAATAAAATTGTTTACAAATATTGATGGCTGAGACGAGTGGACATGCAAATCGATTTGAAACGAAGTTTGAAATTACTTTCGTTTGCATTTCCAATTAGATGTTTGGGGAACCTAATCCCAAGTTGATTTGCGGGCACGGAAGGCATCTACAGATATAAATCAAATCGAACTGCTCCTCCCGCTTAATCGCAGCACATTCACAAAGCCATCTGGAGGATATCCTGTGTCCAACAGAGGAGAGTGAATGCCAAGAGCAGAGAGTTTTTTTGTTGTGTGTTGTTTTTCTGTTTGTTTTCTGTTGAAAATTTCGTGCGGCGCTCATCAACTTAAATTGTGGGAAATTAATCAAGTTGAAAAGGTTCCCTTCGCTTTGGTCTGCCGGCGAAGATGCCACAAAAGATTGAGGCGCCCCGGGTTATCGGTTGGAGGGGTAAGGAAAATAGGCCTGGGATCTGGCTGTGGCTCTGTGGCTCTGCCTTTTGTTTTCGGTTATTGTTATAGGTCTCAGACTCTGGTCCTGACTCAAGGAACAAGTCAACATGGGAGGCAGGACGAAACCTTTTCTGGTTTGCATTCAAGCGGAAATTAAAGCAACTTTCAGGCACGAAGCGAAGGCCATGGAAAGGGAAAAGAAAGGCCGAAAGCCGTAAGCGTTTTCTTTCACACTGGCACAAAATTGAAATTGTGTGAGGCCTGCAGGCCTCAGGGCCACCAAAAAGGGATACGTGTGTAACATTTTGCAGTCGCATATCGAAGTACCCTTTAAAGC